CACTGCCTTGGGGTGGCTTGTCCAGCTGGCCGCACGGGGCTGTGGCACGGGGCGGGGGGTGTTCACAAGCCCGCCGCCCCGAGCTGCCCCTGCGGCCCCCGCGGGCACCAACTCTCTCCACAGATCAGCAGCAAGCGCTCGAGCAGCTTCAAGCGCGCCATCGCCAACGGGCAGCGAGCCCTGCCCCGCGACGTGCTGCTGGACGAGACCGGCCTGGGCTTCTACAAGCGCTTCGTCCGCTACGTGGCCTACGAGATCCTGCCCTGCGAGATGGACCGGCGCTGGTACTTCTACCAGCACCGCACGTGCCCACCTCCCATCTTCATGGCTGTCGTCACCCTCACCCAGGTACGGGGCTGGCACCAGGGCTGAGCCTGGCTGAAGTGTCCCAGTACCCAGGGGGTGTCAGACCTGGGGTGGGGGGACCAGGTTACCCTGGTTGGGATGCCCCATTGGCCATGGAGGGCTCAGACTGATGGCAGAGGGGATGAGTGACCCCAGTTGTGATGTCCTAGTGCCTATATGGGGGTCTTTGACCCAGGGTGGAGGGGATGGGTGATACCAGTTGTGATGTGCCAGTGGCCATGGAGAGCTCAGACCCAGGGTAGAGGGGACAGGTGACCCTGGTTGTGAGGGCCTGGTGGCCATGGAGGGCTCAGACCAAGGGCAGAAGGGACAGGTGACCCTGGTTGTGATGTCCTAGCACCTATAGAGGGGTCTTTGACCCAGGGTGGAGGGGATGGGTGACACCAGTTGTGACATGCCAGTGGCCATGGGGGTCATGGCCTCAGACCCAGGCAGAGGGGATGGGTGACGCTGGCTGCAATGTCCCGATGCCCATGGGGGTGCTCAGACCTGGGGCAGAGGGGACGGGTGACACTTGTTGTGATGTGCCAGTGCTCGTATAGGGTCTCGGACCCCAGCTGTGATGTCCTCGTGCCCGTACGGGGGACTCAGACCCAGGCTTGTGGGGATGGGTGCTCCCAGCTGACATCCTGGTGGCCATGGGGGGTTCAGACCTGGCGCAGAGGGGCCGGGTGACCCTGCCCCAAGGCAAAGGAACAGGAGCAGGGGGGTCTCAGCAGTGCCAGGGCTGACCACCTTGGGGTTTGACACAGATCATTGTGTTCCTCTGCTACGGGGCCCGGCTGAACAAGTGGGTGCTGCAGACCTACCACCCCGAGTACATGAAGAGCCCCTTGGTCTACCACCCCGGGCACCGGGCACGCGCCTGGCGCTTCCTCACCTACATGTTCATGCACGTGGGGTAGGTTCCTGCCGGGGGGAGGTGGAACGGGGACATGGGGGGGGCTGCGTGAGCTGAGCCACGGCGTGTCCCACTCCTGTGCCCGGGCAGGCTGGAGCAGCTGGGGTTCAACGCCCTCCTGCAGCTGATGATCGGGGTGCCCCTGGAGATGGTGCACGGCATCCTGCGCATCAGCTTCCTCTACCTGGCCGGTGTCCTGGCAGGTGGGTGGGTGCCCGGGGGGGTGGGGG